TTCTTTCTTTCTTTCTTTCTTTCTTTCTTTCTTTCTTTCTTTCTTTCTTTCTTTCTTTTCTTTCTCTCCCTCCCTCCCTCCCTTCCTTCCTTCCTTTTTTTGGAATGGTATTTTGTCAACATAGTGAGCCTCAGACCAGTCAAGGTTTCCCACGGAGACTGTCTTAGTTAGGGTTACTATTGCTGTGAAGAAACACCATGACCACAGAAACTCTATAAAGGAAAACATTTCATTGGAGCTGGCTTACAGTGCAGAGGGTTAGTCCATTATTGTCATGGAGAGAAGCATGGTGGCAGGCAGGCAGATGTGATGCTGGAGAGGTAGCTGAGAGTTCTACATCTGGATCTGCAGGCCAGAAAAAGACACTGGGCTTGAACATTTGAACATCTGAAACCTCAAAGCTCACCCCCAGGGACACCCTTCCTCCAACAAGGCCACACCTCCTAATAATAATGCCACACCACTTCCTATGAGCCTCTGGGGGCCATTTTCATTCAAACCACCACAAACACTCTGTCTCAAAAAAAAAAAAAGATTTTAATTTCTTTGCATAAAAGTTTTACAAGGTAGAGGAAATTTATGGACTATTGGTCATTGTCAGGCCAGCCACCTTTGATAGGAAAAAAGTTCTCAAATGGGTAAAGAGGCCCTGCCGCTTGCACCTAGCCCCTTTGATCAGAGGAGTGAGCACACGGGAAAGATGGACCACACCAGCTTGGCTAGGCTTTATTTCCCTTAGCTCATTGCTCCCTCCTCTGCACATCATTCCGGGCAGCAGAGAATATGATCTCGTACAACCATGCCAAGGGACTCCTTACACTCACACTGAGAAGATTCATGCATGGTCCGTGCAGGCGGATGGCATCTGTGGGTAGCATGCTCAGTTGCTCACATCCTTAGCCTTCGGTCCCTCTGCCCACCCTCCCACTTCAGCTGTGTCCACGCTGCATCACACGTGTTAAACCTAACATGGTAAGATGCGGCTGTAGGTGGTGTCCCTCCCTGAGCACGGCCTTGCCCAGACCCGGGGCCTACTTTCCCATGCTGCCATGTGGCTTTGAACAAGCATAGCAGAAAGTATTGTTTTTCTTATGGCCACCACAAAAAACACTTTATAAAAGGGACAGGAGGGAGAGGTGGCTCAGCAATTAAGAGGTCTTGCTACTCTGCTAGAGGACCCGAGCTCAGGTCCCAGCACCCACATAGCAGTTCATAAACACCTGAATCTGCAGATCTAGGGGATCAGATGTCCTCCTCTGGTCTCTGTGGGTATGCACGCACACACACATGCACACGCACACACTTAAAAAACAACTGACAAACACAACCTAAGGAAGGGTTTATTTTACCTCACAGTAGGAGCGTGAGGCCGCTGGTCACCTTGCAGCCACGGTCTGGAAGGGAGTGAACAGTCTAGGATCTCCACGCCCATGGAGCGGTGCCATTCGTATTCATGGAGGCTTCCCTGAAAACACCCTCATGGGCATGCCTGCGGGTGTGCTTCCATGCTGATTTTTAATCTCATCAAGTTGATGTTAAAATTAACTATCAAGCCGGGCATGCTGATGCTCACCTTTTAATCTCAGGCAGAGGCAGGTGGATCTCCATGAGTTTAAGATCAGCCTTGTCTACACAGTAACTTTCAGGACAGCCAGAGAGAGTGAGATCTTGTCTCAAAAAATAAAAATAAAAAATGAAAAAGAGAAGGAAGAGAAGGGGAGGAGGAAGAGGAGGGGGAGGAGGAAGAGAAGGGGGAGGAGGAGAGCATTTGTTGCCCTAGCAGGTGCAGGTTTGATTCCCAGCATCCACATCAGGCAGCTCACAACTGCCTACAGCTCTGGCTCCGGGGGGTTTGATGTCCTTTTTCCAGCCTCCAAGGGTATGAGATTTGCATGCACAGACCCCATAAGCAGACACACATACATACAATTTTAAGAAATTTTTTTTTTTTAGATTTTTATTTGTGTGTGCACACGTATGCTGTGTGTGTGTGTGTGTGTGTGTGTGTGTGTGTGTCCTTGAAAGATGAGGATAAGCAGCAATTGCCTTCCAGGACTCTCGTGAGAAGAAAAGTTAACACACACAAAGGCAGTGGATAGGCTGTGCACACAGACAAGTCATATCCACAGAACCAGGATGTCCCTGTTTCATTCCTAGATGAATGAATGAATGAATGAATGAATGAGAGCACTGGAGCTCAGGGAAGTTAAATGGCCTGCCCTTAGCCACCCATGGCAGTAGAGACGACAGGACCCAAGTCTCCTGACAGTGACTTCTGAATTATACAGATGGTGGACCCTGGCATTACCTGCTTTCCTGTTATCACCGTCCAGGTGGCTGAAGTACAGGCACCCCAGCTTTCTCCTGCATCCCCACCAGCTCCCCTGGAA